TTTCATTTGTTGCCTGGAAATTTACTGGAACTTCTACGCAGTCCATGTAAGGACTCAGTTCTTTATTTTAAAATAGTGTACACCTTTCGCCACCCTCAAATTTTAAATGTAGAGGTGTGACATGTGACGAAATTTACTATGAAATAGTTTATGTGTTATCAACTATAACCCCCCTCGTGTACGCTTTACTAACTACAGTTCCCCCATGTACAATGATCTCTCCATGAAACCGGCTATTCAAGGAGTTCCAGATCAACTTCGAATTATCTCAATTCCCACTATTTTTGCTGAAAAGTACCAACAAGTCAATGGATCACGCATTGATGGATCCACTGGGTTCGGAGTCTTCAATGAATACTCAACCGTCTTGCAGAAATTTCAGCCACCTTGTTCCGTTTATGTTGCTGAGCTAGCAGCAATCAACTTCGCATTCGGGATGATTTTGGACATGCCCACAGGCCATTACTTCATCTTCTCGGATAGTCTCAGTTCGATTCAGGCTATTGAGAAGGCAGACTCTCTCGCAAAGGTGAGCGCACAACAAGGCGAGATTTATGATAGAAGAATTTCACACGATGAATTTTTCCCATTAGTACGTCAGAGTTCTCTGAATAACGGGTGTTCAATAAAAAATGAGAATTTTTTCAGTCACATAGCTAGTAAAAAACAAAAAACAAATTCAACGAATCCAGTTTTTTTTTTATTAAAAACATAATGTTTATTCATCAAAAAAAAAAAAACGTCAATGAATATGGATGGCACTGAAATCATTCTCATTTTTTATTGAACACCCGTTAGTTGGCAAAACGATTGGATAAGTAATTCTCTTAGGCGGTGGCTACATTCCATTACTCCAAATGTTTCTTCGAGAGCGTGGTTCAAAGGTAGGGATGTAAGTCGGGGAATCATTATATGTGAAAGAGAAACTGGAAGTTATCAAACGTGTACGGTATTCAAACAATCTCGACCGATCCACAAGATTATGACTCGATGTCTATTTGAATTACTGATTACTTTCAAGAGTTCAGAAACGAAGCCGTAACCTGATCGATGCAGGAAGAAAATGCCTCAGGCATCCTTTGAAATCCTCTGCATCTAAAGCAAACAGCGAACTCGAATGGATGGAAAGATGAACGATGATCATGTAATCGTTGCGTCGAGTTGTTTATTTATTTATTTATTGTTTATCAGTCAACAGGAAAAATGTTTACCCCAATGACACCTGTTCTACAGCTAAATACAAAACTAACGAATAACATAAATTAACATAAAACTTGTTTAAAACTACGCTTGTTTGTTTCTCGTGACACGTTGAAATCGTACACATAATAACACCGGTTGAATACACGGGACATGCTTCGCAAAGGTTCGTGAAAGCCATAATTAGTTCTTGCCGGAGGGATGGTGATAAACGAGTGCGACCGAAGATTGCGACGACGTGTGTTGATGTCCAAGAAACTAAGAAGCGTAGGACTGTCAATGTTGCCTTGCAGAAGATCCCCAACAAAGCACGCTTTTGCCACGTTGCGTCTTGCTTCTAGTAATTCCAGATTTATAAGTAGACAACGGCTTTCATAACTGGGCAGGTTGAATGGATCTCTCCACCTAAGATGACGTAGAGCGAACCGGACGAATTTTCGCTGAGCAGCTTCGATGCGTTGAATTTCATTTTGGTAATAAGGAGACCAGACGATAGACGAATACTCCAAGATAGGGCGCACAACTGAGCAGTATAAAGCTTTTAGGCAGTAAACGTCCTTGAACTTTTTTGCAAAGCGAAATAAAAATCCTAGTTGCGATAAGGCTTTAGACACAACGTACGCGACGTGATCCTTGAAGGTTAATTTTGTATCAACCAGAATCCCCAGGTCCTTGACTGTCGAATCACGTTGTAGATTCACGCCTCCCAAAGCATAGCTAAAATGGAAGAGTGATTGCTTGCGGCCAAATGAAATAACCGAACATTTGGACACGTTCAGCGACATTCGATTAATATGACACCATTCAGCGAAGGCTTCCAGTTGTTGTAGCAGAAAAAACGCGTCTTGTGGTTGCTTAATCGTGTAGTAAAGCTTCAGGTCATCGGCATACGAGAGTTTTAGGCATTTCAAGATGAAATTGATATCGTTTATATACAGCAAGAATAGAAACGGCCCCAAGTGACTTCCTTGGGGAACACCGGACCAAACCGGAAAGGAGGGCGAAACGTGGTCTCCAATTTTGACGGACATACTTCGACCGGTTAGGTAGGATCGAAGCCAGGAAAGCAAGTTACTGTTCATTCCCAGCTTGTCGAATTTAGCAACTGCGATTTGATGATTCATTTTATCAAACGCCGCGGATAAGTCTGTGTAAATAGCGTCTACTTGTTGACCATTTTCTATTTGGCGGATCACGAACGAAGTGAAACAAGTCAAATTAGTTGTCGTCGAACGGTTAGGCATAAATCCGTGATCAATCGAAATGTAGTGTGCGTAGTTCTGAACCAGCTTATGCAGAACGATCACCTCAAACAGCTTAGAAGTGGCGCTCAACGCAGCTATGCCCCGATAGTTCGAAACAATCCGCTTGCAGTCTTTCTTGAAAACTGGGAAAACATACGACTGCTTCCAGCATTTTGGGAATACACCAGTAGCCAAAGATAGGTTGAATACTCTTGCTAGTGGTGTTGCAAGTGTATCCGCGCAGCATTTGAGGACAAGCGATGGAATCCCATCCGGACCACATCCCGTGGAGGATTTTAAATCCTTTCCGGCCGATATAACCATATCGTTCGTGATCACGAACTGTAGCCCAGAGGCCGAAAGTTGAGGAACATTTCTGGTGGCGACGGCTACATCCTGCGGGTCGATGTGTTCATTAGTGAAAACATTGCTGAATTGAGAACGGAACAGGTCCGCGATGTCAGTGGTGGAATCAGCTTCGAACAATCCGTTGGTCATCGTAGAGGGCCGTCCGGATTCCATCTGTTGGTCATGGACGTAACGCCAAAAACTTCTGGGATTTGTCTTGAAGCGCCTTTGCAAATGGTCCTGATATGCGTTGTACAAACGATTATTAAGTTGGCTGTATTCAGTGCTCGCTGCCATATATCTCATTCTCGTAGAGTCCGTGCGATACTTGCTATGTCTTCAGAGAGCTGCTCGCTTCACAGTCCTAAGATGCTTGAGGTCAGCATTTGACCAGGCTGGCTTAGCCGGTTCGTGTCTAGACTTCACGGGAACGAACTGATCGATGGCATACCACAGGATACCAGATATGGTCGACGCAGCGAGGTTGGCATCACAATTTTGAAGCACCTCGTCCCAATCGACATGTGCGAGGAACTCGTTCATCCTGTTGAAGTCAGCCTTTCTGAAATCATAGGCGATGCTTTCAGAGGTATCTTGGAAGCGTTGCTGTGGACTTATCTTGAATTCCATCAGTACAGGAGGATGATGCCTGCAGATTTTAACGAGCGGTGATGGAGCTTGCATAACTGTGCTGTGCTCGCAAAGTTCCTCACTGACGAAGCATATATCAAGCGTACGATTGTTTTCATTTGCAATTCCACTCATTTGTCTGAGTCCAGCGGTGCTATACGCATCAAGCAGCTTCCGTGATGCCAGGCTAATCGAGGATCGTGATGTAATCGGGTACAGGGAACCATGTGAACTACGCTGCCAAGAGATCGAGCTCAAGTTGAAATCGCCTAGGATGATAACGTTGTCTCTTGGTCCTAACTGCGAAACCACCCAGTTAAGCGATTCGATATACTTTTCGATCAAAGATTCATCGTTTACTCGATCAGGGGGAATATACACAACGCATATTTGCTCAACCGCCGAGCCATCAGGAGGGTCGAGCGTACGGGATTTAAAACTCGAGCGAACAGCCAGCAAAACACCACCTCCAGTGGTTTTGTTGCTATTCGAAGGCGACCGGTCTTGTCGATAAACGGAATATGATTCGCCAAACAACTGATTCGTTGAGGTATGTCCATTGAGCCAAGTTTCGGAAAGTGCGTAAACATCATAGGAACCGTCGCTGAAGGCCAATTGGTACTCGGCGAGAGAGCTGTTGATCCCACCAACATTTTGGTAGTACATTCGAAGAAGCAGGTGCACCATTACTTGCTAGTGCAGACTTAGAGCCATCCTTGCAACAATATAACTCGTAATCTCTACCGGATTGGAATGTGGAAATCTGTGCTGCACAGTGTAGTTAGCTCATCTACACGCCCATAGGCTCTTGCTAAACAGAACACAACAGAGCGCACCGAAACTTACTCTGCAGCTAGCCAAATTGTCTAAATTCAGTAAAACATTACAGTTGACCGATCGGTAGGCCGCCCATCGCACCGGGGCCTCTTGCGATGAACAAGTGGGGTGAATCTCCGTTTTGGACTATTCAATCAATTGGAATGGATAGAGCAACACTGCATATGCGGCTCCCGTTCTGATGGAGGAGGCTTATTGGATAGCGAACAATAAATTGTTTATTGTGCTGTACCTTTTGACTATAGTTTTAAGAAGTATTGTATAGTGAACAAGAATCCTCGGCTCTGTAAAGTTAATTCGGTTTAGCGTTATCAAATACATTAATAACAAAATCGTGCCAGAATCGAACGGTTTTATTTTGAAATTTAATTTATGATTTTGTTTAGTCTGGACCACCGTGAGTCATCTTTAGGTCATAGATGTTAATGATAATGAATCTTGTATTACACATTGTAATCACGAGGAGTGAAAATACATTATTTTCAAAATCCATCCGGTTTGGTGGTTTTGTTGCCAAAATCGAACCTTGCTTAACTCGAACGGGTACTGTACTGCTGTTTAGTGGTTTTAGATCACGTTCGATAATTCTACAAAAGTAAGAGATTTTTGTCAACAAATGGGCAATAAACAAAAAATGGTCGATCTAGGTCCAATGTTACATCTCTTAAAATTTCAAAATATACCTTCAGCAGTTCAGCTACTTAATTTTCTCCCATTTTCATTTTCTTTTCCCTTTTGCAGAGACTCTCGGATGGATGAGTGGAAATACTTAATAGCGCTGTTGGTCGCGCTCTTAAGTTATCGACTCCCAACGGTAGATTCGATCAACGGCAGCAGCGGAAATGGCTCGCGAGCAGGAGGAAGTGCCACCGCACGGTCAGCAGGAGGCAGTGGCCGGGAACGGTCTGCTCCCCAAGCGATAGCTTCCCTGTCGTCCGCATCGATAGCGGCGGCCCTTGCTGCCCGGCAGAACAACAACAACAACAACAACAACAACAACATCAACAACACCGCTGCTGCTGTCGCCACCGCCGCCGCCGCTACCAACGGGAGCAATGGTGGTGGGAGTGCAGCTGGGCCTGGATCAAGTGCGGCTACCAGTCACTGTAATTTGGCCCAGTTTCGATGCGGTAATGGAACCTGCATTGCGTCGTCAAAATACTGCGACGGAAGCTTCGATTGCCTGGACAAAAGCGACGAGCCCAAGTTCTGTACAGGTGAGTTTTGCGGGATATTCGATGTTTCGTTTTTATGATTATGAGAACGGGGACCGTATAGAGCTTCCAATGCTCGCACTGGGGATTCTTAAGTGCCTGTAATCTACTAAATTTGTCTCAATTGAATGGGAAAAATTGAGCATCCCCAGAAGAAGTATGGTCACATCGAAAGAAGCTCCAACATTTATGATGATGCTGGCACGTGAGAGTGACAGTGTTCCATCACTTGTTTCCATCTCGGATCGCCATCACCATCGTTGCCAAGATGCGCACAGTGGGACTCTTCGCTGGAAAAACTGCAACTGTATTCGATGGATTTTATCGGAAATTCCCACAATGTCCCTCAGCGGAACAAGAATTCGACCCCCGAATGACGACACTTTGACGAGTGTGGTGGTCGTCATCGTCGTCGGAGAGTGTCATGTTTTCGGGGACAGGATATTAGCTGTATAATTTATGGTCGCTGGGACAATGCCGTTCGCCCCCCCCCCCCCACGCACACACACAAGAACACGCATCAGATAGACAGATATATTTCGCGAAATATGATCCATTCCAATGGGTACGTGAGTGTCGTCCTCATACGGGTATGACGTTCAGCGCGTTTGCCGCGATGGAACATCCTGCCATTGTTGTTGGAAAGTCGAGCCCGGCATAAGCTCGGAGAATTTATGGACAATTGAATATGATTTTGGGACGCACTTTTGTTGCTTTTATATGGGCGAGCACATGTGGCCGTGGAAATGGAGTAGAGAGTGTCATTTCTTTTTGTGGTTGCCATTTTTATGACCCGACCAGGTAGAAGAATTTGCTGTGGAGAAAATGTGCTCTTTCTGGTCAGGGATTTGCATTTGTGGGCGGGAAGTGGGGGTTGTCCATAAGAATTTGATTATTCGGAAGAGTGGCGTAATTATTTTGAATAATATTTTAAATTCAGAGAAGAAAGGGCGAGCGAGTTTCTTCGGATAATTGCAGTTTGTTTGTGCATTTTCAATCATCTTCTTTATTCTTTTTCAATTTTTTGATCTGTTTAATATTTTATTTGTATTCTTTAACAGAATTTTACCAAACAGATCTCAAATTTAATCAAGCTCAACAAAGTCTTGTACGATATCCGGATTAATTAGACGAATCGGTAGATGATCTTCTTTTTCCTGTCATTCACGCTATTACGTGAGCTTACAACTGCTCTCAACTTAATATTGTTTGATCCTCTTCGACAGCTGTTAATTGAGAACTTCATATGCCAACCAATGCATGACATTATATATAGTATGGCAGTCACAATGGATGCGTTCGTCAGGTAATACCGTACTTTAACTGACTAGGTTATCTGAAACCACATGGCTTTATTTATTTAAGATAGTGTTAGTGATAGTGTTTGCATTTTCAGCAAGTTTATAGTAGTTTGAAATTTAGGTCTTTTAACTTACATAAAATCAAAACAATTACGCTCAATTCTAATTATTTTTATGTTATTTCAAATTCTGATAATTTTTCCATCACAATTCAATAACTTATGACGAAGTTGTGTTAATTCCTGTGACCCATTTAAGGACAGTTCACAACTGACCAGTGGATCAAAACCTATGTATTGATAACACTGGCATATCCAGAGAGGCAGGAGGCACTTCCCTCTAATTTAGCAATTTTTAGTTGTAGTTAGTTACAGCTTCTTGAAAAACGTTCAAGCTGCAAGTCCAAATTTCATTTTTATTTTTTTTTTCTAGGTGCCCAAATACAGAAATTTTTGAAGGCCATAAAATTGAACTTTGTTGGGCTGCTTAATACCCCAAATATAGAATTTTGACTATTGATCTAAAACTTTTATTAATTTCTTGAATAAAAAAAAAGATTTCCATGAAAATCATTTCAAGATCGAGGCCAAAGAACAAATTTCAGAATAACAGGATAAGAAATATTCAAGATTCTGGGCTAATTATAAATTTTGATATTAATAACTGGACTTGGTCAAATGTTGGTTTCTGTAAGTCCACTCAAGGTGTCAAACTTTGAATAACACCCAAAAAACTGCATTTTAAAACATTATAGAAAATTTTGAGCTTCGAACTACTTTGAAAATTCTTTGTATTGAAAATTTTTAGTATTCACACAGTTTTTTTTTTTTTTTTGAGAATTATGAGAAGAATTTTTGGGATGAATTTATGCGATTAGAAAAAAAATAAAAGGTTGTATCCAAGACACGACCGTAGATTTGACGTAGAATTACGTTCTCGGTATCAATATTCGGCGACTGTGTTAGGGAAAGCACTTTTTCCCATCACGGAAACGCCTCGTTTTCTGATAACAAATTTACGAATTTTCGTGCACAAAACGCACGGATTTTTTGATTTGCTCAATAGATAATAAAAAATCCAATTCCGTGAGATATTCGCGATCAATCATATAAATTTGAGATTTTTCTGCTCTTTTCTAGCGTCTTGGAGAAAACCTTACCTTAGTTCTAAGTGTTTCTGGTTAATTGACATGATCATGTTGTATTGGGTCATTGTGAGAATTTGTATGTATGTACCACTTAAATACTTGACGCATTTGACTACAAACGTTTTGTTCCTGGGTACATTATCAAAGAGCTTTGGGGGTGATGTGGCTGGCAGCAAGGCGAGCGAACCTTCTATGAAAATTAACTCTTGAACAACAATAATTTATGGTGGTTCTGAAATGAACCGTTTTGTCGTGATGGTTGAGTAATGCTGAGCTATTAGGGTGTTCAGCACGGATGAGGCTGGCGAGCTATATGTTGTTTGGAACAAGGGTGACGTGCTTGGCATAGATGGCCCACAGCGGCTCACGACGAGCAACTGAATCCGATCAGTAGTGGTGCGGCTTCTTCCTCCTTCTTCGGTGAATCCAGGCAGCTTTGATAGCTAGCTGCTTGCGGGGAGCCTTTCGTTGTGTACTGGAGAAAAATGTACAACGCCACGCGCCGAAAGCACTGTTGCTTCTGCTGCTGCTGTTATTGCTGTTGATGATGACGACCGGACACCACCACTCACACCACGCGGTGATGATCTTTGAAAGATTGAAAATAGGGTCGACTACTTTTTTAAAAAGCAAAAAGAGTCGTTACACGTTTTTTTGAAAAGTTTTTTTTATGGGTTTTGCAAGTGGCTTAAGATCCATAATTTAGATTAATGGGCACAAATATTGATAATTAGCCAGAATACAATCATGTTTACTATATATGGAACATGGGGATAACAAAACGGTCCTCGACAGATCCGGAACATCCGTGAAAGTGGTCTAACTATCCTTAAATCCCTGATCCCAGAACTCCGTGGTTTTTTTCGAAAACATTAGGAACTGTGATATAAGAAAGAATTAGGGATCATGACATAAACAAGAACCTGTATGGCCATAATACCGTCCTCCAGAAGATCCGAAACATCCGTAGAAGCGGTCAATTCATGAAACTGATCCTAGAGCTCCACGGTTAAAAAAAAAAAACATTATAAACTGTGATATAAGAAATAATTTGGGATCATGACATAAACCTGGGCCTGGATGGCCAAAGGATCATCCTCCGAAAGATCCGAACAATTCATAAAAGTGGTCAATCCATAAAACTGATGGTAGAGCTCCACAGTTTTTTTTCGAAAACACGTGGAACTGTAATTTAAGAAAGAATTTGGGGTCATGCTATAAACATGGACCCGGAACTGTGATATAAGAAAAAAATTAGGTCGTGACGTAAACATGGACCTAGATGGGCATGAGACCGTCCTGTGGAAGATCTGAAATTATTTAAGAAGTGGTAAATCCATGAAACTGATCCTAAAGCTCCGCAGTTTATTAAAAAAAATATTAGGAACTGTGATAAAAGAATAAATTTGGGGTCGTGATATAAACATGAACCTGGATGGCTATTGAACAGTCATTCGGAAGATTCGGAACATCCGTAAAAGTATTTCATACATAAAACTGTGAAAAAACCATGGTTTTTCTCGAAAAACCAAATATCACAGTTACTTATGTTTTCGAAAAAAACCGCGGAGCTCTAGGATCAGTTTCGTGGAATGATCAATTTTATGGATGTTCTGAATCTTTCGGAGGATCGTTCCGCTGTCTCCAGGATCCATTTATAGGAACCATAACTGTATTCTGGCTAATTACATTTGTACCCATTAATCTTAATTATGGATCTGAAGCCATTACCAAAACCCATGTAACCTTTAAAAGATTTAAAATATACTTATTGATAAACTTATAAGACCATGCAAAAGCAAGAAATTTCAAAAATCAATCGTAACATTTGGGCATACTTTAATGCAGATGCACATAACAGGTAGTGTGTCAATTCAATAAAACGAGTTACAGCCACAGGAGTCCCAAAATTCCTAGGAACGCAAAAAGTATTCCCCCGTTCCACCCCGTCCTATCTGTTTGACATAAATGGAGCAAGTAAAGCACTTTCCGCCTCCCGCATGTCAGTCGCGTACGTTGCATGCAAAATGTTCGCTGTGTTTAATTAAAAAAGTTTCCCTCTCTGGTCCATTCACACACACATACACACACACACATACACACACCGAGGAATTATATACTCTCTAACAAGTTGACTGGAGTTGCTACACTGTAGCTGCTGTACACCGAAAGAGTTGAGACAGGCAATATTTTCGCTGACGACTGGCAGCGGCAGAAATGTTAAAGACTTTATAATCTCTGTTGCACCAACTCTCAGACAGTTTTAGTTTGCGAAACTACTTTAAAAGCAGTTTCGCCTGCTACAGGGCTTGAGTGTGCATATACGAGTACCTACCACCTTCGTGGAATACGCATTTCACCCCTCCCCTCCGCACACACACACACTGCTTGAAGTTATTAAGCTCCTGGAGCAACAAGGAACAGGAAGCCAAACTGCAGGTGGTACGAGGCGAACCGCATACTGTAAGCCATATATCAATCAACAGGAGGTCAATTTCTGTTGCACCACCGCATTTCGTTGGGCCTGGGCCGGTCGGAAATAGCTGTCGGAATGC